AAATTTAGGGGGGGGGAATCATAAACTTTACACAATTTCTACTTACTAATTCAAAAACACACACAATAATAAGTACTGTATCTTAAGTAAAGATAATACCAATGAAACTATTACAATGAAAAAACAATGAAAATAGCAAATTGAAATATCTTTACCAAAAAACTATGAATAATGAAGAATTTACACATGGGTAGATGTAGAATTAACTTTGACATTCATATCAGAGAGAGAGAGAGAGAGAGAGAGAGAGAGAGAGAGAGAGAGAGAGAGAGAGAGAGAGAGAGAGAGAGAGAGAGAGAGAGAGAGAGAGAGAGAGAGAAAAGGCAGGCAGGCAGATCTAGCCTCAGAACATTATTCATTCTTATTCAATACAACATTTCCTACTTTTACCACAATAGCCCTTACCCTCGGCCAGAATTCCTGGATATCAAGAACGTAAGTGAAACGGGTGACTTCCCCTGCTACGACGGGACAGTCAATCGCTCCATCACACGCATCACGAGATTGGCCTGGCAGAGGGACCTCAAACCAGGAGTTCCACCTCACATGGGAGTCAACGTCCGTGGAATTATAATCTAGTGGAAGGAAAGTGAGCTTAATAAATGTCACTTAGCAATCAAATTTCAATATCATATTAAAAAATAATTCAATTTGATTTATACATTATTATGCACAAAAATGACTTACTGTCCTTTGAACATATTGTCCAGTGTTACATCTTACTAATTCAAAAATCAACAAAAATTGAAACATTAAAAGAAAATGCTTATATTACTGGCTTGACAACACGACATACTAACCTGGTATAAAGATGGCTCGAAGATTATGTGTACTTCCTACCCTGACTTCACAAATACCACGTCTGTTTGCACACGACATGAACACAGCTCTAGGCATCTTTTCCTCTGTTACACAAAAAGAAAATTTCAATAGTAATAGGGTGGTATTTACAGTTCCAAAAAGCATATTCACAAATTTATATATACATACATGTATACATGAATGCAATATAGATATATATGATATATATATGATATATACATATTATATATAAATTACATATTTATTATACATACATACATACATACATATATATATATATATATATATATATATATATATATATATATATATATATATATATATATATATATATATATATATATATATATATATATATTCATGAGTATATATATATAGTAAAAAAAAAATCTGTATATATATGTATACATTAGACATATATATATATACACACATATACATATATACATATATATATATATATTTATATATACATATATATATATATATATATATATATATATATATATATATATATATATATATATATATATATATATATATATATATATGTATTTATGTGTATAATATAATAAAATAAAAAAAATCTGTATATATATATATGTATTTGTATATATGTATATATGTAAGTATATATGTATATATGTATATATGTATATATATGTGTATGTGTATATATATATATATATATATATATATATATATATATATATATATATATATATATATATACAGACATACATATACACACATTTATATATATATACACACAGAAACACACACACACACACACACACACACACACACACACACACACACACACACACACACACACACACACACACACACACACACACACATATATGTATATATATTTATATGTATGTATGTATGTATGTATGTATGTATGTATATATGTAAATATGCATGTATGTGTATGTATATGTAAAAATATGGTTAAAATGACAGAAGTAAAAGGACTGTGAAACAGACTGACCTGCCGAACAGCGAGCAAACATGATCCTCCGCGGTTGAAAACATGTTGACGGTCCAACTGCAATAGCTAGGAGAGCCACCAGTGCCAGCCACCGTCGCATGGTTGTGGTCTAATTTTGCTTTAAAACTGTGGAATAAAAGTGTTATGCATTAATTTACAATTCTTGGTAAATAGTCCTCACAGGTAGATGAAAGCTTTGTAAGTTATATATTAATATGTAAAGAATTTTTTTTTGTATATACAGAAAATTGGTATGTATCCATACCGTATGCATGCGCACACACACACACACACACACACACACACACACACACACACACACACACACACACACACACACACACACACACACACACACACACACACACACATTTTATATATATATATATATATATATATATATATATATATATATATATATATATATATATATTTATATATATATATATACATATATATTTATATTTATAAATATATATATATATATATATATATATATATATATATATATATATATATATATATATATATATATATATATATAATGTAAGTATATACAAACACAACTTCAAACTCTATCCTGCCAGAAGTTTGTTGACCTCTACTGAAGTATGGTTGTGATTTACTGCGATATCATTTTAGCAGTTCAACTGTGCTGACTTTTTTTTTACATAACACTGA